ACGGTGAGGCATACTAAAGCATCAAGACTGATTTATCATTTGAATTCCACTTGGTATAAAGTCAACACTCACATACACACATACTTTGCAGTATTTCACACAGAAACTTTACGTCTGCCTCGTCTTTTATCATAGTTTTTTCGCTCAAGATTTTAGCTACTAAATGGTTCTTGGCCCCTTTTTTACTACAGAGCTGTCCTATTGTGTAATATGTATAGACTGGAGCTTGGCACTGGCTTGTTAAGTCTGGCATCATTAGCCATCCTTTAGTGAGGCAGCGCTGGTTCGAATAAAGTACTAATATGATCAATGTGGCTGTCAGAGTGTTACAAGGAAGCTGAACATTCAGGAATTAATGAAAAACTGAATTTAGAAATTCATTAGGCTAGATGACATCTACACCATTTATCCCTGACTGAAGTGTTTCTAAAAAACGAAAGTAAACCCCACTGCAGTAACTCTGGACATTAACAAAGACAGGAAACGACACATTTAGAAGGTTAATGAAGTTGGACTAGTCGAAATATGATTAGCTACCTGGTGCTAAAGGTGCGTTACGTCATCAAACAAATTCTTTGAATCTTCAATAATATTTCCAAGTATTATGTTACTTTTCACTGAGAAAAAATATTTGTAATTTTTAAAAAATGTTTCACATACAGTGGTTCAAAGAGTTACTTCTAAAATACTAAAAATGCTCGTTTCATATGCGTCAGAACATATGAATTTAAAAAAGGAAATTATTGACAGTGTGGTGCCTCTAATTAAATACACGGGTTCAGATGATTCACAGATGCTTCAGTTCTTTTTTTTTAATTTAGATTTTAGACAGTGTCCCATCTGTTTTGGAAAGGACAAACCATCAAAACACCAGTCCCCAAACTTCAGAAAATGACTTGGTGAGGAAAAGAAATAGTTAAGCTGACAGAGAAAAAGACAGTGATGTCTACATGTCTTAACTTGGTGCTGCTGTTGTCACTATTTTCTAGTCAGCTCAGTCCAAACCCACACAGACTGCAGACTCGGACTGGGTGTGGGACTGGGAACGCTGACTTCTGCATTGGACACTGGAGGCTTTGTGTGGCTTTGTGTGTTTGTAGGAATATGAGGACAGAGGAAATTAAACTTCCAAAAATGAAAATAACGCCTTTAATTAACAGTAAGTTCACCAAAGGTTCAAGGAATGGAGTATATATAAAAAAAATACTGGCTGGCTGCTTTATCTGACCTGTAACAGAGTTGACGGAGCCTACTTTAGCTGCAACCCTAACTGACAATAGCTTACTTTACTATATTAATACAGTTCTGCCATATTCCTGCCATATAGTTCAAACGGTGGTTGCAAAAAGTGTTACTTTTACTAAAAAGCTAAAAGCTCAGCTGAAATATAAACATTCAATTCTTAAAACTAAGAAAAAAATATTTATATATGTGTAATTTTGTTAATTGGTCCTGAGTGTCCACTTTACTTCATGGTTTTGTTATTTTTATGTTACATACACATACTTTTTTACTCTTTAAATATTTGGCCTGATTTATAATAATAATACTAATAGTAATAATAATAATACTGATAGATTTTGTGAAAGGTTTAGTTTCAGGTTTAGTCAGGATGCAACTCCTGAGAAATTCTGGGCCGATGTTTAAAGTACACTGTGTAGAGAAAAAAGCCTTTTTTTTCTGGTGGGGGTCAGTATATGGCATTTCTGTCCTGATGAGCATTGAAATTAAAGTTAATTTAGATAATACTTAAATAACTGTCCAAATTCCCAGAGACTTAGAGGACATAATTTGTAAAAAATAAATTGCCCAGCCCTGTCCTATCTGCTCCATGTGCTGCCACAAAGGATGTTTTTCTATGTATGAAACAGACTTTTATGGAGAACATGAAGCAGCTTGAAGAGATGTGATGCAACATGAGGTGATCGAGGAGATGAGACTTAAAGCACAGTCAGGAGCTGCGATGTGACATGATGCAATGTGAGGGGTAATGACGGGAAGCAGCCACTGGCCCATTTTAACACTATCTGCTCTCAAAAGCTGATTTCCATTTCACACAGAAACACGAGACTTGTGCTTTTACATCAGTACGGGAGATCTGAAATTCAGGCCTTGTGTGCACAGAAAGTCAAAATCGTCAGGAGAAACTGAGGTCGTCTCTAATGCTCCTCGCTAACTGCATTCAAAGGAAAAAAAGCATCTATTTTAGACATCTTCAATGTGTGTGTGTGTGTGTTCACTTTCTGCTGTGTCACAGCAGGTATAACAGACACACACACACCAGGCAGCATTTCTCACGCACCCTGGGACCAGCTGCTTCTGTACACACACACACACAGACAGATAAACACTAACATCAGCTGCACACAGTCTAACACAGCGAGACACACCCTAGTTTCCTCCCCTCTCCATCCAAACTTTTTTTAATGGGGGACTTAATTAATAATAAATGAGGAGCAGCAGGCTGAGTGAGTTGGGACTGGCGATGGTAATACAAAGACACAACTACCTCACAGCATGAATAAAACCCGAACTCTTATACTGGAGGCACCATTTAGAAAGCAAATTATTTATTGGATAAAAATGTACAAAAGCTAAACCAGTGTTTCTACTGCAGTTGTATGAGCAGGAGGGATGAAAATGAGGAGAGATGCTATGATGATTTACTTTCTTTTGTACGGAAATGTACTGTTTTTTAATGGAAAATATGTAAACAGGGAGTTTGTCTTGATTTTAAATTCCATAAAATGTCGTCTGGATTCTTTTAATTTTTTTCTTATCGACTGATAAAAATGGTGTGGTGAGAGCGTTAAAATAATTAATAACCAATAAAAAAATTTAAACTTAGCATTTTCCTAAATAAGTTCAAACTTGGCTTAAACGGCTGAAAGGATGAAAAAAGTTGTTTAAAAATGTTTATAAATTGTTACATTTCACATGGTAGCTGCTGACATGCTCACATGTCTGTGTGTGTGTGTGTGTGTGTGTGTGTGTGTGTGTGTGTGTGTGTGTGTGTGTGTGTGTGTGTGTGTGTGTGTGTG